TTCCGGACAAATTTAATCGTTATTTTATAATTTTTATTTTTCGGTCAATAATAGTAGTTACTTTTTAATTTTTTTAAACGACTTCAATAAAAAGAGGACGAATTATCAATTCGTTGGAATATTTGTTTTTTTTTTTATGTATGTTACCATATAACTTTGGACCACGTTCGCCGATTTCTATAATTCTTTTGTTTTTTTTTTAAGGAAAGATGGCACCTCCGAGGAGGTACCATACTAATTTGGTTTAAATTTTTTTATGAGAATTTAAGTCGATTTGGTTTTTCGCTTAAAAATTACTTGTTATCAATTTCGATCGTTATTTTTTACTTTAATTTTTTCGATCACACCATCACCGTTTAATTTTTTAGATTGTAAATTATTTAAAACGGCAACAAAAAGGGTAAAAATTATGGAAAAAATTAAAATCGCAAAATAACGATCAAATGTGAACGAAGAAATAATAATCACAATTTATCGATTATTCTTGATTGGAAAACTTAAAATCAAAAATAACATTTTTGCAATAATGTATTTAAAAATATAAGTCTTTAAACCCTGTTTTTTTTTATGAAGGTATCTTTCTCAATGTTAAAATACTTTTCTATTAAGCTAAATTTGCAAATAAAATGATAACGTAATTTTGAAATCGTATGCATTTTAAAACGCATCATAAAACGGCAATGCGTTGTAAAAGCACTGATTAATTTTTCTATTCTTTGGACCTTGAACTATAAAATGGTGGCCGCCCCAGCTATTCTATTTTACAATACCAAACAGCTCAGTTGTAATTTTTACCATTTTACGCTGTCGCAAAACTATTTTCATGAACACAATTGTACCTACATAGTTTAAGTTAGTTCAAATTGAAGTAATTTTTTTGCGTAATTATTAGCAAACTTTAGTACATAGTAGCTTTACAGTATTCCACAGAATTGTTGCTTCCCTCTCTCCGTTTAATGAATTATCTGAATTGTACTAAATTAGAAAACATAATTAATTA